GAAAGAGACAGACAGACAGACAGACAGACAGACAGACAGACAGACAGACAGACAGACAGACAGACAGACAGACAGACAATAAATATATCACATAAGCCTGTCAAATTCTGACAGAGGGTGCGTGCGTGAATACATGCTTGAATTGCGTTCCTGTGTATAAATATGTTCGTGCGTGCGTCTGTGTGTATTTGTGTGTATGCCCGCATGTGTGCATATGAATGGAATACGCTGAAAGTAACATACGGTCACGCAACTATAAAACAGCAAGAAACAAAATAAATCGATGACTGGACCAAATCCATCATCCACGATAGCGTGTGTCTCTTTCGATTCTTCGCCTTTCTCTCTTGAGATCTAGTTTCTTACGACAAACTAAATCATTACAATTGACTACAGTAAACAGGTTCCGACAATATGTGGTAAAAAAATCGAAACAAAAATGCTCAACTATCAGAGAGAGCCACAGTCTCCTGTTTGCCCACCCCCACCCCCTTCCCCATTTATTTCACCCTGTCTTCATCCTTTATACATTCCTCTTCTCTTGTTTCGTAAAAAGAATTTATTACATGAGTTGTGGCGTACGATCATGATTTATCCTACGAGTGAAATTGCCAAGTTGTAATCAAGAGTTTCAACGAGTAGGATAAATCATGGTCTAACACCATAACGAGTGCAATAAATTTTTGTATACCATACTGATATCATCTGGCGAAATACATCCGTACCAATAAAGTTCAAACGACAGGCCAACTGAACAAGAGGATCCATTGTAAAGTCTCACATGAAAACAAACATTTTCATGCCCGTCGGAGTCAGATTGAGAATTGGGAACAATCTGGATTGTTTTCCTTTACTTTTATCCACGCTAATTTACAAGTTGTGCTATCCGTATGTCTCCCTCTGCGAAACAAACCCCTAATAAAACAATCATTTGTTCTAATGGGTCATCATAATAATGTGACTTGTCAGGTGCAGCTAAACTGCCACAACTAAATAGCGGAAACCACATAGATCTAGATCTAGATTTAGGCTATATCAGCTTGAATGAATGATCATCAAATATTTACATCATTTTGAAATTTGGAAGTCACCTTATCAAACAATTTTTAAAAACCCACTGTTTAGCCAACTTGCATTTCCTTTTGAATTTTCGTTCACATTAATTCTATCACTGCATATACTAAACAATCAACTATAGAAATGAAAGAAAATTGAACTTCAAAACAATATGCGAAATATTATATTAGACAATATACGAGTATAACACTCTTGGTTAATTACTTTTTGGGGGAAATAATAAAAGTTACTTCCCTTGTAATTGTGATATTCTTACGTCCCGTTACGAAATCAAGAATATCGGAAATCGAATAGATTTATGTGAATTCTGCAAAATCCTGATCTGATAGACAAAAACTAACTACGTATGTGCAATAAGCACATCAGTTTCCAAATAACTTGCCAACTTTTGAGGCTGAAAAGCCTTTTTTTTTTTTCATCGTTGACCAATGTAATGCAAAGCGCTAGAACTAATATCTAGACTAGTAGATCTAGATCTAAATCTAGCCTAGAGAATAACACCTTGCCTTCGGTTTGTTTTTCTTACGAAGTTTAAAATCAAAATCAGTCATCTCTATTCTAACGACAACATGCCATATAAAAGCAGTTTCTTTCAACTTCTGAATCATGCGTTTTCTGATTACTTTGCTTATATTTACGTTATGCTGGTTTTATTTAGGGGATTTTTTCCGCGGAGGGAGACATATGGATAGCACAGCTTGTAAATTAGCGTGGCTGAAAGTAAAGAAAAACAATCCAGATTTTTCCCAATTCTCAATCTGACTCCGACGGGCATGGGAATGTTCTTTTCATGTGAGACTCTAGAATGGATCCTCTTGTCAAACTGGTTGGTCATTGGAACTTTGTTGGTACTTTCGCCAGCTGATATCAGTACGGCATAAAAATGTATTTCACTCGTTATGGTGTTAGACCATGATTTATCCTACTTGTGAAAGTGCCAGTTGTAATCACTCGTTGAAACTCGTGATTACAAATTGGCAATTTCACTCGTAAGATAAATCATGATCTCACACCACAACTCAAGTAATAAATTCTTTATATCTTAGTTATTGTGAACCTTCTAAATCAGAGCGCATGTACTTTCCAGCGGAACTTGCGAACGCCGCGGAAGGAAATAAGTCTATCCCTCACACGAGTAGGTTTTTGTCTGGGAACAAAAGACTTCGTGCCACCGACAATACCGTTCATTGTTTTACGAGAACCCGAACAATCTGACGACACGAAACATTGAGATATATACATTGTTCTCTCTCGAAAATACTCTCATTTCTGAACAATAGGAAGGTTGAAAAAGGCGAACGATCCGAACTACGGAGCATTGAGATATCCAGTGTTCGATTACGAAAACTCCATCATTTCTAAACAAAAGACAGGTTGAAAAAAGCAAGAGATCAGAGCCACTGACAGGAACAAAGGAAGTGTTAAAAAGCATAATAGCACACTGAAATGATACGCAAACGACCTTCTCGAAACTTTTTTTTGTGGGGGGGGGGGGGGGTCTTAGTACAGCCTCGCTTACTCAAAGCACACCCCAGGGAAGAATTTGTGTCATTCTTCCGCGCCCTAGATTTTTAATTTTTTTTTTAAATTATTATTATTTTAACAGAACGCCAACTGGCCATGAAAAAAAAATCAAGACCACACGGAAATACACGAGCCCGGGGACTCGAAGTTTAGGGTTCTTTTAGTCTAATATACCTTGTATCAAGGCCTATTGTCAAACAGATAAAGTACAATATGACATGCAAACAGAGATTAAAAGATAAATATATGTATGGGCAGGAGTATAATATTACAAAATCTGGGAAAAGAACATTCAGATTTTCCGGAGTTTCGGATTCATTGGAAAAATTGGAACATCTAAAGAAAAATGTTTAAAATTTTAAAAGGCAGCTTACAAACGTCACTATAATCAGCCACATAAAGACGTAAAGAAGTACGCCAATGAGCTTCGCTTTTCCTTCCCTTCATCTAACCACGATGACATAACAAACTCTCATTAACACGCAAGAAAACTGAACCAATTTTTAGATTTAAAAAATAATACTTGAAATACCCGAACTAGGTGGTCTTTGGCTTTTAAAAAAATAATGTTCAATATTACGGATCACTAGAATTTTTTTTTACTGGAAAAAAACCAACTGGGTACTTTGGCTATGAAAAATAATGCTCAATATTATGACTTGATTCTATTGTTTGTAATTATCACGTAGACTCGTAGATAGCAAATAGGACACGTGTATTAAAGATATTTTACAAACCAATCCAAGCATTGTTTGGACATATTATATAAGCACATCCGACCAAAATCGGCAATTTCATGAGGAGAAAATATTTTAGTTTGAGTAAAGAGAAGAACATCGACACAATAATGGTCATTTAGTTCTGGGAAAAAGTAAGATAGACAAGACAGAAACAACGGATAGAAAGTTATTGTAAAGAAGTGGGACCTACCAGTGGCGCCCTCCAACCAACCACGAAGAGAAAAGGTAAGACAGACAGACAGACAGAAACTAGAGAGGGAAAGGAATGAAGCAGTACCACTAATGGGGGTCCCCAACTACTTATATCTTTTTTTATTATTTTTTTCAGCAAGTGTATTACGCGCTCGCAACTGCATAAGGTCGTATGAGCGCGCGGGACACATTCAATATTTTCAGTTGGTAGGACATTTTTAATTTTGCCCAGGTTCCGCCCGAACTACTTATATATTTTTTGTAATTTAAGAGCTAAAATATATAACAGGTCTTTGACATCAAAACACTTTATAACCATAATATTTAAAATCAATTACGATCATTTGAGAAAAATAATCTTATAGCTGTGCAAGTTCCCTTTTCATTATTTTTTAAAGGATGAAAATGCACTGTGCTTCTTTTCCGAAAACAGCTCACTCGGAATATTTCACACTGTAACTCCATGACACACACACGTTTTCACACAAAGTAAAGTGTGTGTTCGATCAAAAGTACAATGCAATGACGAAGTCAAAGTGATTTTTTTTTAAAGATCAAATTTCAAAAATTCCACAGTAACAAATATATACAAGTTGGTTGATTTTAAGAGAATTAAAAATATTATTACGAGAAAGTATATGTCGCTATCACACTGTTTACGAGTAGTTATAAATGTTACTGATACAGCTAGAAACAAATAGTCTTTTTTTCTCTCAAGACGGCCATTGACTGTCGAGGAGAAAAAGTTTATCGTAGATGAGTGTACATTTACGATAACGTCATTGTAATTAGGGATAAGGTAAAAGTGGGGGGGTGGGGGGTGGTCGTTTGTACAGGTGATAGTCTTGGACAGGTGGTCCTTAGAGCACGTTCGACTATACTTACTTCGTCCTCTACGCAGTGATTTTCTACACCGAACCTTTTATTAGTTTATGTTTTAAAGGCCTTTGCACAAGTGCTGAAGATTAGAGGTGTTGCAAGAGAGTAAAAAACACAAAGAAAAAAAGCAGGAGAGATAAAGACGATAGATGTATGATAGAAAAGAATGAGCAAACCATACCAGAGCACATGGCAACCACCCACACATTTCTGCTTCGAACGAAGAGGGTCAAATGACGAACACGACCATGCGTCATCTTTTCCCCTCCCTTCCACTCCCCCACTCTCCTCATTCACTAAGCCAGCACACGTCGTCAAGAGAGTAGGAAAGAGCTGCCATCATCAACAGCAAATTAAGCCCGAGAGGAAAGATAAAAATGAGAAAGTCTCTTGATAAAATGACACTTGTCGTTGCGTGCGGGCGGACCACATGAACTCATCAGCGGTCAAGCTCAGTCAAATGATGAGGCCAGATCGCGATGTCGAGGTCTCCACATTACAACATATTAACGCAGGAACAAGAAACTTAAGACGAACGTCATAAGCAAAGCCTCAGAAGTCGTTGACCCATCTTAGAACCTGCTCCACGAGTTCAATACGACCCTATATTATATTGCTTATAACTTAAAAGCGATGAATTCGGACAAACAGAAATTGATTATGTTCGTTCGTTCGTTTAAGTAACCTACATCGACACAATAATAGTCATTTCGTGCTTTTTTTTTTGGGGGGGGGGGGGGCGCAAGAGAGAAGGAAACAACAGAGGGAAGTAAAAAAAAGTAGGCCTGTTACTTGTCAGAATATTTTACCAAGAGGCCCTTCTAACACCCGTCGAAAATTATTATCATTCGATTGCCTTCGGAAAAAAAAGGTTCTCCTTTCCAGTTCGTGGACATTAGTAATTTTCCGTTTTAATATCAGTGTTTTTACTCCTCATTTGAAACAGTTTAGATTATTTAAGAGGTAGGCTTCTGACCCTAAATGTCAAAAGCAACTCGAGCAGACAGGGATACAACATTGTGGCAGAAAAACCAAAATACTCGATTAAAACGTATCCCCACTCAGGAACCAAAGTCGATGTATCTGTATGTGCTCATTTCGTAACGACATGTAAGCGTGCGCGTGTATTGGTGTGTGTGTGTGTGTGTGTGTGTGTGTGTGTGTGTGTGTGTGTGTGTGTGTGTGTGAG